TTTAACTGATAACATCTTCAACCTTTGCTCTAACACTACATTTGATGACAGCTTTATAGTTGGACTGTTGTTTTGAACAGAGTTATGGAGTCAATATACAGAAATACAGGACCAGGATTTAATTCAATATCTCCTGAGAATGTTTTCACTGTTTAAAATATTACAGAAGTCACAGAAGGATTGTTTTTAAATATACTGTATAAATCTTTTTGTGAACTATGTTGATAAATGGCTTAAAATATCCTCGAAAATATCCAATATTTTATACAGTGTAATATATTAATATTAACAAAACTCCAGAGTGCATTCCATGTAAACTCTATGCCGAAGATACAGCAATATTAACTATTGATAGTATAGTAAATATTTGCCGCCGAACTGGCGAACTCATGCATTATAAAATATGTGGGACATATATTTGCATAAATTTGGTATTTAAATATATATTATGTGGTATTTGACTACTTACCAGATGAGGATAAGATTCCATGTTGATAAATAACTTCGGAATAAAAAAGACAGCCAATTCAAGATAAATTGATAAAAATATCAAGATATTATTGAAACAATAACACGATTTATGCACGAGGCCTGACGAGGCTAAAGTATGCCCGTGCGCAGGTTAGATGCGGGCACGATGTAAACAATTGATGTAAACGAATCACTGATTGGCTTAAATTATATAAGCTCGTCGCTGAATGGCTAGGGATACGGTATGGTACGGTACGGCACGTTTGCGATAGCAATATATCTGCTTCGCAGATACAAAAACTGTAGGCTTCCACTATGCTGGAAAAGTATGAGCAAGGTGATGCCGTCACATTTTGACATGATTGTCTAATGTATGTATTTTTCGTATGACCAGGGTGTAGGTCAAACTAATACAAATTGTTATATAGTTAGTGTCAAAGTTCAATTTTTCTGCTTGCCGATTGGTTAAAACCGTATCATGTGCCGGTCACGGCCCGGTTTCGAGGGGCACTTTTCGAAAGAAAAGGCACCTAAGAAATTTTCCCGGAAATGTTGGCGACGGGGGAGGGGGGAGATGAATTCAAAAAATTTTCCAGACATATTATCTTCCCAAACATGCAAAAAATTTTCCCGACATACCATTATTTTTTTCGGGAAAATAACAAAATTTTTCCAGACATGGCATTATTTCCGAAAACAACAAAATTTTTCCGGACATACCAAAATACTAAAGTAAATGCAATCATAAATCAAAGAATATTGAGGCAAACAACGTTCTCAACGACATTTTTCACATAATCAGAAGGGCACTTTGCCACCGAAAAAAGGGCACTTTGGAAAACTTGGGGAGCCTGGCCCTCCGGTTCCTACGTATGCCCCTGACTTTGACACTTATATACTATATACCAAAACATTTATTTACTGAGACCGAGGGGAAAATGTGTTTTGTGGCCAGACCCGAGACCACCGTTGTTACCCTCTGCTTTGCCTCGGGCAACAACAGCGGTCTCGGATCCACAAAACACACTGTTTCCCTCGGTCTCAGTAAATAAGTGATAAATATTGAAATGCCAATAAATATAAAATAATTTTCGTTATTTAAATTGAACTACGTACCGTTCAGTAAGTATGCCAGAAGTAAACTGACCATTATTCTATTATTTGGCCAATAAAACTCGTCAAACAGGTTTGACAGACAAAGGTCAGAAAGCATGCATCATTTGACAGTTATCATGCCATGAAGATGTTTGAAATGTTCGTAAAAACTGAAATATTTATACTGTTTTTATTCAACTACACAATCAGTATTTTACCATTAAGGTAAGGCACACGTTTTTGTACCAGACAAGCAATTATTTGTTGTTTTTTTAGCATTCTATCAATGTCTTAATGCACTTTTCAACATACTCTTTTAGTTTGTTTTTGGAGTTGTTTGGATAGCAAAAAAAACCCAACACAACTCTGTGGTTTGCTGAAAAGCACTGTTTGAGCATTGTATTTGTCTTCTGGAGTGGAGAATTTGCTTTTATGATGTGTTCTGATGATTGATTTGGCAAAATGAAAAGTTTTTGACGGCGGGAGTTTAGCAGGTTGGAACTATAAAACTATTTGCTGTCCTAGTAAATCCTAAATATCAAATTTTGCTCATCACTCCATCAGCAGGTAAGTACAACAAAGTTTTTATAACAAACATTCATGTTAAATTGTTTTTATGTTTACTACGTTATGTAACGGAAAAACTGATAAAAGCTTACCAAACAAAAAGCTCATTTGCACTGCAAAAGCTATCACCACCGGCACTGGTTTCCATAAGAACTTGGCAACTTGAATCTCTCTGAGAAAAAGCAAATTGATAAGTCATCGTATTATTTTGTTTTGTTTGGCAACTTAGTTCAGAGGCATTTCATTTAACAGGACGAAAAATAACTCAGATGCGAAACATTTTGCAAACTAGGATACATTGAAACTAATAAGTTAACTTACCGAGCTAAAAATCTTTCACATGCTTTCCTGAGATATATAGCTGGTCCTCAACGACGGCTCTTTTGGCTATCTGGTCTATATTTGAATACATTTATTTCATTGGTATAGATTTTTTCCTCATTTTGTGTGTATAAAGTATTATAGCTAGACGAAAAATGCTTTTTACAATTTATAAATTTTAAAGAGGGTTTTGCGAAAAATGTTGCAAGACTGAGAAACATTGAAAATATATTGACTTTATACTGAGCTAAAAATCTTTCACATGTTTTCCTGAGCTATTATAGCTGGTCTTCAAAATATATTATTTTGTTTTGTTTGGCAACTTATAGTTCATAGGCATTTCATTTAAACAGGACGGAACATGACCCAGCTGCGAAAAATTTCGTGAAGGGAAACATTGAAACTATTATAAGTTGATGTTAATACCAAGCTAAAAATCTTTCACAATGCTTTCCCGAGCTATAGCTGGTCTTCAACGACGGCTCTTGACTATCTGGTTTATATTTCAATACATTTATTTCATTAGTATGTATTTTTCCTCATTTTGTGTGTATAAAGTATTATAGCGGGACGAAAAATGCTTTTTACACTTTATAAATTTTAAAGTGACTTTGCGAAAAATGTTGCAAGACTGAGAAACATTGAAAATATATTGACTTTATATCGAGCTAAAAATCTTTAACATGTTTTCCTTAGCTAGTCTTCAACGACGACTTTTTTGGCTATCTACTAAATACCAAAAGGTGGAATTCTACTTACCACTAACAATCCTCCTGAGACCAACAGGTATAAATTTTCCCCCCCAAATAATCACCTATGAAAGTGATTGTCAGGCTCTGTGATTATCGTCGTGAATATTCACCGATAATCACCGAACTGTTACGCCTAGAAAATTTTGCAGATATTAACCAGGTAATGTACTAATGTAGTGTAGCTACATTTGCATATTATTAAGTGCTAGCACACATACGAAGTAACACAAGTGTAAACTGTACTCTGTATAGGTATGTTAATCTGTTTCACTATAAATCATTCACAAATACGTGCATACTCTGCATACACTTCAATGGAGGAGGGGGGTAAATCAGCAGCAAAACATATACGGAGTTACTTGGAAAAGACAGCAAAATAAAAATGACATACAGAAACGAATGAATGAATTTATTTAACGTTGTCATTGTTCGCATTGATATGCTGCATGTTCACTGTACCGGATTTGCTTGTCACAACATCATATTTTGAAGTTTCTGAATGCCCTGGCTAATTTAAATTACGATCGATTATACGATAAAATAAAACGAAAACGGTGAATACTAATAGTGTAAAATTTGTACACAATCCTGCAATTCACATATGTTACTTCTGAACAGCCAGTACTCAGATCTTGTGACAAACAAATCTGCACAGTGTGGACGTGGCCCAAATTAATGTCATTTATGATTGAACCTTCATTAAATTTAGGGATTTTTATTAGCGTGGATTATGCGCTACCGTAACATGATGTCATAGAAAAATGCATTAGTGAACTTGTCCCCAATCAGCAAAGGAGATGGTATAAGGGTGTCAAGCTTATGATGCTGGTTTATGTTGCGGCAAGAATTTTTTTAAAATTTAAATAAACTTTGGCTTTTTTGGCTTTGATCTTTATGCAGTAAACCACGGTTAATAGAATTAGATGGTTAGGCTAGCTGGACCACGTGACAAATATGTTATTGTTCATTTTTATTTTTGGTCACGTGACGAGGAAAGGGGGTGCTTTGTGATGAGTGATTAGGAAAACATATGAGTGAGAACATAATATGCCAAGAAAAGATCATATTTCAAAGCGCTAGAGGGCTTCTGAGATCAACTGGAAATTGAAACAGAAAGCGAACAAACATACGAACCTATTTTGAACGTTGGAGATGAAAATATCGAAGAAAGCGAGGGTCGTGAACAAGTTTATGATCGAGGGGACGAACGCTTTGTTTATACACCGCGTTTGGATAATTGTATTTTTGCCGTTGTTTTAGTATGTCAGGATACGGTTAAACGTTTGAAGTAATATTGAACAGTATGGTTAGCTCTAATTGTGCTTTGTATGGCTGTCCGACCAGCAGAACGCGTGAATTTGCAATTTTTAAAATCCCTGTTGAGTGTTGTTGGCGCAGCCGATGTAGTCTGCGTAGGAGACTACAGCCGATGGTGAACAAGAAGAGAAATGCTCGCGAAGAATGGCTTCAAATTGTTTTAAAGGACTAGAGAAAAGACGGTAGATCTTCAGAAACAAATAAGATTTTCCTTCGTGAGCGTCATTTGAAGCCATTGTAAATTTTGCATTTTATGCATGCGCTTGTGTGATCAGATGTAAACAAAGAGGGCATTGTATTTGCATATTTACATATCCCATGTCTATTAAATATCTAACTTCTGTAGACCCCAAACGAAAGATTTTATAACTGGTAGCGTACCACTGAAAATTTACCTACAATAAACACGAAGTTCCCAAGGCTGAGCGCCGCATTCTCAACGTATAAATACCAGATAAACAACCTACAAGCTTTGAATTACACACGTTAGTTCAGTGGCTGGCGAGGTGGCTGGTGTGTCCAGTATTGAAATTAAAACTGATGGCAGATTTAGATAATATGCAAATATGGAAAGTAGAAGAAATTCAAGATAACCTAGGAGGTCCAAGGCTCAAAAAGCAATTTAAAATGCAAAAAAAATCTTTAAGTTTTTCACTATCATATGAAAATGGTCTATGCTTGTTTAAGTTGTTTTGTTCCAAAAGTGGTATATTGCATGTAAATATTTTTTGTGGTCACTCGATTTTCATACCAAGATTGGTGAATTAAAGGCCATGATATTATATTATCTGGTATTCAACAGAAATAAAGTCAAATCAGGGTACATCAAAGTTTTAATGGGTTAATTAGGGGCTGATTACATGGAGCATTTTCAACCCTGGGGTTGTCTCCTACAGATGGGACCTACTACGAGGCCTGGGCTGAACCCTCGCCCTTGTCTGTAATACAAAATGCTATCAAAATCAAATGCACGATTTCAAAATTTTCAATTCAGGGCCAAGTTCAACCCCGCTTCAGCTAGCAGAGTTATAAATTTCAACCCCAGGTTGGACTTCGCCTTGGGTTGAAAATTTTATCATGTAATCGTTTCAACCCAGGGCTGAAATTATTCATGAGTTACTCAAGCATTTGATGAGGCTGGTTTTTGTTTTCACTTCCGGGAATGTATAGCATTTCAACCCTGGGGTTGAGATTGTCCATGTAATCGCAAAATATTCAACCCAGTTATGTAAACATGGTCGAGTTCAAACCTGTGGTTAAAAGTGCTCCATGTAATCGTCCCCTTAGTGTGGTGTGATCCGCCTACTGTGGGGCAGGGCTGTACTGAATGGTGGCAGATTACCATAATCAAATCACTTCTATTTCGACCAGCCAATAAGGTTTAATTAAATATACAATATTATTGTATAATATATGATAAAATTATTGAATTATGGAAACAGTGTTCTGAACTTCTGACAATCATTAACAATTAAGAAGTTTATCAAGTTTTATATGTTATCGCATCCCCTTTCTCAATCACTCAATGCCTTTTCTTTGACTGCCTTTCATTAATTTAATAATGCTATACTTTAAAGATGCGGTACAGTCCGTATGTAAACAAAGGCTTTGTTTACATTTCGGTATCCAAAATATTGAATTTTATTCCACAACTAGTTATATTTTCATGATTCTAGAAATTATCAAGAGACAACAATCAAGCTTTGCAAGAACATAAAATGAAATAAAAACCTTACTAAACTGTTTGTAAATAAAAAGGGGACTCTTGTGTGCACATGCACAGATTGGACTGTACATGCCGCATCTTTAATAGTAATAAAGTCTCTGGTGTAGGAAAATGCTCCGACTGTTAAATAAAGTTTAACTATATTTTCCGTACAGTTTCTGTGCAGAGTTCGAGGGTTGAACTTCACGAAAAATCACAGCATTTTCCAACAATGCCGACATTTTGCTGGTGTAGTGTTTTATAAAAATCCGATCAAATATGCTCAGGAATATATTTGCTACTTTATAGTTCTCACAATTTTATAGCTGCTCACACAAACGAGGAATCAAGCCATATAAAAACATTCTAAAAGTTTGTCTTGATTGTTCCTTGGACAGAATGTTGTGTAAAGTGGCCATGCAAAGCATCGAACAAAGCATCAGTAGAGGAAACAGTAGCCAAACTGACCTGAATCGGTGTAATATAATCAAACCACGTCCTCTAATAGTCAACGCAGCACGAGTTTTGTCTCTCCCTTTACTTTATAGACTTGCACACTATCTCTCACTGACTAAAAGGAAAACCCCTCTCGCCATCAATTTCTTGTATAGCTTCGGTGAATTCAGCGTCTGTTTCGTCTAACTGTATTTCCGTTAGAGCAACAGACACATCAAAGTTGTATAAATCCTCTGCGGTTGCATCGTCTAGTTGCGATAAATGTCTTCGCCCTTCGTCCTCTTATGCCTCGATCATAAACTGTTCGCGACGCTCGCTTTCTTCGATATTTTCATCTCCAACGTTCAAAATAGGTTCGTATGTTTGTTCACTTTCTGTTTCAATTTCCACTTTGATCTCAGAAGCCCTATAGCGTTTTGAAATATGATCTTTTGTTGGCATATTATGTTCTCGCCCATATGTTTTCCTAATCACTCATCACAAAGCACCCCCTTTCCTCGTCACGTGACACAAATAAAAGTGGTTCTCGACATAATTTGCCGCTCCCTTTGAAGTTTGCCGGCTAGCCTAACCATCTAATTCTATTAACCGTGATCAGACATTGTGGAATTTCCCCTTGACTTCATTATCGCATTTCATTTGAATTATTTTTTTGTTAAGAGAACGTTTTAATAAAACATTTATTAATTTTAAGCATAGTTCTGGAACCTATCAAGAAATTAGCTCTTATTATGGCCTCTACGTAGCATTTCTCGAACACAGAATTCGGATTGGAGTTTATTTCCGGTTCAGTGGAATGCGAAGTAAAAATATATTGACCTATATCCGATTAGCACAATCGACACAAATATAAGCAAGTCTAATACTCAAGCTGTTTGCAGATCAAGCGTATAACACAAAATGTTCACCCAACGCAATCATGTGGATTATGGGACTCTTGGTGTGTTAAAAAAATACTCGCCAAAGAAAATATAATTCTGTATTTCTAACTACAATGTGTACATAAAAAATATATCCTTACTATCTATATAGCTTTCCTGCTGTTCTGTTCACAAAGTCAATTTCCGTTATTGCACAGTCAGAGACATGTGTTCCTTACACTGGCCAGTTCTGGCCTGTCACGGCCTCCGAGTTACCCGCGTGCACTATTAATACAATATATAAAATCTCTAAAGCAGTTTTGACGAAGCTAATTCTCGTTGTCCACTGAACATTTCTCGCATTTTATTGTGATACATTTTCAGTTGCTCTTCGAGTTCTTCGACTTTCCAAGATAACTGCATTGCTTTTTCCTCGGACGTCTTGCGCCTCTCCTTCGCTTGGCTAACCATCAATTGCTTTTCGTAAAACTTGTTTTCCATCTCGTTTTTGCTCAACTCCTTATAGTTCTTGCTCACTGTAGTACTCTGAGCGTCAACAGCAGAAATTTTCTCTTGGGCCACAATAATTCGACGCACACAGAACTCCATTCTCTTATCGACTTCTTCAACGCGCAGCTCTAATTTATGCAGCTTCTGCTTTGCCTGCCAACAATCCTCGGCCTTCTCCTTCGCTAGCGTATGAACGTCGTCTTTACGTTTCTCCAGATCGGTAACCTCCTTTCGTGTTCGCTCCAAAACCTTCTCAAAGTGTTTATTTTCGCCATGCATGCTCTCGAGCTCGTGCATTTTGGACTTAGCCAGAGGAATTTGATTCTCAGCATCAGACAAATCCCGTTCTGTGTCTGCTATTCTGTTCCTCAAATCCAAACATTTCGCACGTGCCTCGTCGTGACGCTGATCAGCTTCTGCCTTCTGCTCTTCCAAGTCTTTCGATTTCACGTTGAGGTTGCGAATGGCCACTTGGGCGTCTGAAATTTTCCGTCGAATTGCAACAAAAGTATTTGACATCTCCATGCGCTGTTCGCGTAAAACGTTTGCTTTAGACATGTTCCAATGAATGTTATACACCACAATTAAGAATGTTTTTAGAGAGTATGGAAGTCGCGAACAGACTATACGGTCTTTGTTTGTGTCAACTCCAATGTCAAGACAAAACAGACCAAGAGCATGCATATGCAAACACACAATCACAATGTAATTTCTAATCGGTATCGAATTACAATGCATTAATTAATTCATTCCAAGCGTGTGACGTATCCCATACTTCTCATTTCTTTGAGATTATACTGTACAGACTGAGTCCAAACATGGCAACAGTTGGCACAGTACATTAGAAGGTCAAAACCATCTGTGTTGAAAGTTGGACATTCATATGCTCTCAAGATTAACAAAAATAGCTTAACTACCGTACAGCTACCAATGATTTCAAACTGTGCTAGATTGTCATTGATGCGTGTACGAAACAAAGGGAAACTAGAAAGCAGTTGTTGAAGCCTGCCGGTCCATAATCGAGCGAGAGATAAACGTTTCAATACCGATATTGAAATGTGTTGTATTACCAGTAGTTGAAGGATAATTATTTCATTTATTTGTTGTGAAATGTGAAGCCTCTGATGTGAAACCATTTTTTTTAATTTTCAAGAGATCTCTCGCAGTTTGGATTTTTAGGAGGCGTGCTTAGAGTTGATACAGCGACACGTGTAGTCAAGGGCTATTAAACTGCCTTATAATCTTTCCCGAATTATTTTGCGAGTCATTTAAAACCCAACGAGGGCCCACTCTCCTCCGCAGAGCCTTACGATAAATATCCTCTACTATCCCTACAAATCCTATATAATTCAGACTCTGCGGAGGAGAGTGACGAGGGCCGGCATAGAGAACAGAGCCTGTAAGGTACACGTTCCGATATATCGTGTACTATTCGTATTGACCGTATGAAAATTGCTGCTGCCGCCACAATTCTAGTTCATTTTTTAGTTGATGGGAAAATTTGAAATGCAAACCACTTTACGCGTGCTTATGCAGTATAAAGCTGACCGCGCTCCCAACTGAAGCGACGAGGGAGGCAGGTCCCTTCAGGGAGGCCCACCAAGGGTGTAACCCAGGTCTCTTGTCACTCATTTTGTTTGTCGCTAGTTTTATTGTAATAAATGTCGCTGTCACTTTTTTTTACCCATAACACAAATCGCAATTTGTCGCTTTTTCCCAGTCAGAAGCTGTCGTTTGTTGATAGATAGTCTGTCGCTTCTTTTTAAGGAATGTCGCCTGTCGGTCATAACCACATACCCTCAAATTAATCGCGACCGCGCGTTCGAATAACGGATGAGGGACTGTGAAATTGTGGAAAAGTCAGTTTCCATGGCAACACCACATCCGATCAGGTTTGGAAAGCAAGATTTACAAAAACATTTAAAAGTTTTAGTTTATAGTTGAAAAATCACAAAAAAATGCTAGAAAGTGAATATAGAAAAAGATCTGGTAGAATCGAAGTACATACGCCCGAAATTGTGGAAGAAATCGTCGCCGATAATGCGTTACATGACTCAATTTATGACAAGGTCAGATTCTAAACTCTTATTAAATTTGCACTTTACATTTGTGAATAATTTAATTTAGCGTTAATGAAGTGTCTTAGATATTTATTTTCTGACTTTTGGAATCGAAGTCGTTTATGCTTTGAGTGTTTTAGATCTTGATGTTTTTTTATATATTGAAAAGGAGAATGCCTTGCCTCGAATTATTTTAAATAATTTTTATAAATCAAGTCGGAGAAGGTTGTGGAACTCGTGCTTGTTTAATACACTCTTGACTGGAACGTTTGGAAATTATGTGCCTGAGATTTTAAAAAAATAATAGTAAATATATTTATAGAAAGCATCAAAATTCCATGCCACATATCTCGCTTTGCAAGAGATACAACTACCTGAAAAATTACAAGCAGAACTTCAACATTCCGAGCGAAGCCCCTTCGTCAGGAAGCTAGTAGCTAACCAACCTTGTACCACAGAATACTACACAGAAGTCCTTCTCCATTTGCGTAAGCTCTATTCGTTAATATTTCTTCACTCAGCAAGTGCCGTAAACAGAAGCAGTCACCCCCCTGGACGTGTGCCGTTTTTAGTATTTCCAGGGGGTGACTGCTTCTGTTTACGGTACTTGCTGAGTGACGAATCATGACGAATAGAGCTTACACAAAAAGCAATGGAGATAGACTTCTGTGTAGTATTCTGTGCTTGTATGCGGCTGGTCTCGTACCTCGTAATAAAACATACCATTTTAAAATACGTCATTAGTCATTACATTTGTCCTGTCTTGTAAACGTTGATACGCTTTGCACTGATTTACTTGTTACTACATGTCTTGTTTATAAGATTTTTAAAAGAAATAAATATTAGCAAAATATTAGTAAACATTTGATAATAGCCAAACAGAGAAATGTCCATAAGCATAGTCGCATAGAGGAAATTTCATTGATTTATCTTTAAAATTTTGGATTTCGTACATAATTCGTATTCAGTAATTATAGTAAGACTTTAGACTTTCTCTTGGTCTCTATTAAGGGACCAGTCATTGGAGAAAAAGGGGGTGGGCCATTTTCATGCTTGCAAAAAAGGGTGGGCCAGAGAAAATTATGCACTACATTAGAGGTGGTCATGTGTGAATATGTTTCAATTTACACTGTTAATTAACCCATAAGCTTTCCCCTTGGTGAGAAAAATAGTCTGCCGTTAGACAGAGTAAAATAATAAAGTGGCGTGCATCAGGGTGCACTGCAACTCAGTGGGTTAACTGCTAAGGATTATTCAAGCTCACACAATGCATGACCAACCTAAACTTTTCATATTACATGAACTTTTAAAATGTATATATGAACGCAGTGTACTAGACTTGTTAGAGGACCAGTATTCAAAATGGTTGTTATATACTCCGGCTCCTATGGTGAACATATATGTCAATAAATGTAAACTATGGAAACTACGATTATAGGAACTAAAAAAGGTGAAATATTTTGTGGGACATGATATAAAAGGCGAGAGCTTGAAAATGAGCAGGAAAGGCAACCCATGTACGTGTTTCAACATAATTACAGTCTTCTTCAGCAGGGTTTTTTAAGGGGATTGTAGGTAAAATTTGCAGAGGAGAAGGAAGGAGTTCGGATAATAATGTGAGACCACAAGAAAAAATTATTACGAAGTTATTGAAAATAATAATAAATTTAACCCAGTATTAATAAAAATGAAAGGTGGAAAGATAGTGAAAAATGATATAACTACTACATGTTGTTGGTCAAGTTATCCTACCAAAGGTCTTGTTAGTGCAGGACATTTCAACACCACATATTTTATTGTTTATCTTTTCAGTTAAGTATAGGATAAACACCGAGAAAGAGGAATTTATGTCAGATAATGACATTATCTTGACATTATCTGTCATAAATCCCGACTTTCAAGGTGTTTATCATATTTAATTCGATCATCATAAGGAAGTTTTCCAACAAAGTTTTGTCTGCTTTGAAGGGGAGAGTGCTGCCACTTAATAGTTGACTTATATTCATGAGCTCAATCTTCCCTAACTTTTTTTAGGACAAGTTGAGTCAAAGATACCCGAGGTCAGCAAGTGCACCAATCCCGAAATCTCGCAGTCGAACATCATCTTCTAGTCACTTCCCTGTGAGGTCAGGTGCGAGCTCAACCATACCCTTGCATGGTTGTCGCATACAGACCTGGTTGAACGAGGACTCCATCAAAGACATACAGGTAACATGCAAGCCCTTCAAAACTGCTTTAATAATAGATAATTCCCATTATAGAGTAATTTTAAAACTAGGCAAGGAGATTCAAGCTAGAAAGAGCACACTAAAAATTGCAAAGTTTGATTTCAATATATTGTTGTAAATTGCATGTTGAGCTATAAATAGCAAATCTGTTCCCATTTTGTTCCTAAGTTGTACTGTATTTGATCTGTATAGCTAGATAAAAACTTAATTTATTGTTACTGAATTCCATTCACATTTGAGTTTGTTACAGCATTAAAGCCCTGTTTAACCACGCTCAATTTTTGGTACGGCACGGACTACCTATTTAGTCCAAGAACCAAAAAAGTGGTTTGATTGCATGCATATTAACAGAGTATTTTTTCATCAATGAAAGTCGATAAAAAATCGATGATAAATCAATGAAAGTCGCAGCAAACAAGCCATCGATTATTCATCGATTTCCAATATCAATTGATTAATAAATATCGATTGGTATTGATTGATATCGATACTCATCGATTATCGATTTTATCGATTACGTACGCTGGGGTTAAGAACGCAAATAATTCGATTTGTTCATATTAATTAGGGTTTTAACTTTCGAATAACGCCAGTTTCTTATATCATTCCAAGCACAATTGATCAAATATACGAGCCGATGCAAAATTGTCGGTCAAAATCACATTTTCCCACTTTTGTGCATAATTAAAGATGGTACTGACACTTTAATAGACAACTTGCATGTTAGACAAATTTTTTATCTAACCGATCTAGGCAAAAAAAAAAGTAAATTCCCGTTAAGAACTTATTAAAATTAGTAAACTTGCAAAATTTGGTTGCGAAATGTTGTAAAGCTTGGGAAATATAGCCTTGCAAAGTTTGCATATTTTCAGTACTGTATATTTGTATTACGTGCGGAAATTGTTACCATTTTTGAGCCGAAAATGGTAACAATTTCAACTCGTAATACAAATATACTGAAAATATGCAAACTTTGCAAGGCTATATTTTCCAAGCTTTACAACATTTCGCAGCCATATGTTGCACTTTTACTAATTTCAGTATGTTCTTTTTAGCTGTAGTGTTTGATTCCCTTTCCTATGCTTAGATTAAAATTTAGTCTAACATGCAAGTTGTCCAATGGAACTGAGTCTGAAGAAAACTAGACCAATGACTGCCATTAGTGAGCTTAAGATCGCAATGTTTTTGTCAACACGGACGTCAGTTCGTCGAGGGGGACTGGATTAAAAACTGTGTTTTTAATAAGATTTTTAAAGTTTTTTGCTTCCTTAGACGAGCGCTATGATGCAAAATGCCGTCAAAATTAGTCCTACCAATTTTTGGGTGACGTCCGTGTTGGGGACGAAACGGCATGGGGACGAAACGGCAAGGGGACGAAACGACGCTTTACAGTCAACTCGGCCCACTAACCAACTCGGCCCACTGTTCAAGGGCCAACTCCACCTGCTTGTAAACTGACTAACCTAACCGCTAAACAAGCTAGGAGCCTTGACTGGGTTCTATCTTTGCAAATGTTGAGAGAGATTTGAATGGTCAGTAATTTAGTATCAAAATGGACAGATCGAGAATTTGAAACTTGGATAGACTCTTTAATTAAATTAAGTCAAACTGGATGTTGTCAAACTTTACTCATCTGTACGGCTAATGCAACTGCAAATGGCTGTATTGGTTTGGTGCTATCTTTTGTGAAATATTAGCTTTCCTAATATGTCAAACAGTAGTTAACAATTGGGCCAACATGGTATGGGCCGAGTTGGTCAGTGGGCCGAGTTGACCAGCTTCCGAAACGACCATAAAGTGTAGTGATCTGTCTTGGTCAAAAGATTATGTGTACTGATCTGTCTTGGTCATAAGATTGTGTGTCGTGGTCAAAATATTGTGTGTCGTGATCTGTCTGGTCGGCGAATCGCACAAGTAGTACGTTGCATTTTGTCCAAAAACTTTGTTCAGATCAACAAATGTCTTCTCTGCTATTTAGACTGCTAATATGCAGTAACTACTTCGACAAATGTTTTGTCGGTTAATTCGACTGCTGTACAATTCAGCGATCAATTGCAGCGATTTAACAATAATACTCTTCAATGGCGAAACTACGATGAGTCGATGACAGAACAATCGCCTGTTGTCAATGCGTACACAATAAGGTATCATAGTTTTACCTACACCAGTCATCGTTTCATCTCTACAATATTTAACAAATGTTCAATTGCCGATTGTTGTTCCTTATTTTGAATAATGATACTGCCGCCATTTCTTAAATGATTTAGTGGTTTCTCAATCCTCCTGAAGTTCCCCATTTAAGGAGGCTCCCTACAGTTGCGTGCGGGATGTTCGCGGGACCAGTACGTGAACTATCCCACGCAACCGCATGATCAAAACAAAACAAAAATTGACCACGCTTTTTTTAAAAATAAAGCTATTTCTGAAAGGTTTCTAATGGAAAAAAGCGTTGAATAATACTTCGATTTGAGTGCCAAATCACTTGCGAGTCTATACAGCAATTCTACATATGATACGAATATCACTAAACCAAAAAATAGCTACGAAACAATGTTTTTTTAATTTTTTTTAATATACACTGTCAACTGTAAAACATTTGCAAAATTGCATACAAACGTTTAAAAAGTTATTTATTTCTCAAGAAAACGTTCACGTCTTTAGTCGTGTGTCTACAAGATTAAAGTGATTATATGTAAACAGAAAAATATTTCAGTTTCATAGCCTAATTGTTCATTTTTAGCAAAAAGTACAAAACCAAACATGAAACAAAAAAACACGTCCACCTGTTAATAGGCTGTTACAGCTCATAGATTGAGTAAACGGCAGGGTTTAATTAGCTTCAACCTTGTTTTCATCGATTTGATCCTTCACATTAATCCTTGGCTGTCCATGGCACTCAAATAAATCGAAAAGTTGACAAAAACAAAACAGTAAAAACAACATTTCCGCTCGATTTTGCTGAATGAAAACTCGTTCTGCGCCCGCGTACAATCTTTTACTAGTCAGCGACGCTTTTCAATAAGGGGAATTTCTCGAGTTACACGAGGCTATTTTCTAACTTTGTTTGCATTTTACTCATTAGTTTCATCGGTGACCTATCTTCAAATTTTGACCACGAATTTATTTTGCGGTAAATTATATAAATTTCAATTTTTAAAAAAATCTGTAGTGTGGAAATATCGCAATAAAATTTTCGCTTTTAAAAAAATCACACACTACAGAATTTTTTTAAACTTTCACCACAGTTGCAGAACATCATTCCCTATTGATACATGAAATAAAAAAGATAGGTCACCGACATCGTTTTTGAGATAGCGGCACATTTATGGGTTAAATTGGAAGGTTTTGTGCTGTCGTCATGTTGCCATGGTAACACTGACGTTGTCGAAATCTAGTTCGAAATATTCCTTAGGTGACCAATATTGTCACCAAGTCGAAACGAATTCGCGTTCTGCACAAATAAGCCTGTTTTACGGAATTATTGGGTAAACAAGAATAACTGTAGGGAGCCACCTTAAAGGTCTGTTTACACTTGCGATTTTTGCTGTGATTTCTAGTACGATTTTCGTCTTCTGATGCATGTTAACGAGTAGATGAGTATGAATGTTCCGAGTATATGTACACTCATGTCAACATTCATTATTCTTCCACTCGTTCACATCCAGCAGAGGAAGAAAGTCGCACGTAAAATCGCAGCAAAAATTGCAAGTGTAAACCTGCCTTAATGAATCTTGTTTAATAATACATTCATATGTGAACAAAACAATACTCATATATGTAAACCAACGAATAGTACAGGTCTTTCGGCAGGCGGTATTTCAAGCTTCCCTCCGTTCGCCAGCCCGTTAATACCGCCTGTTCTCCTTTCTCCTGTCACAACTTCTCTTTGTAAGCTTATTATATTGTAAACGTATGTGCGTGATATGTAAATAACATGTAAACTGTGACACGCTTATCATGCTAAAGTTTGATTGGGTTAACCGTTAATGCACCCTGTACTGCTTAATTATGCACAAGAGTGGATATATGAGGTTTGGACCGGCAATTTTTAATCAGCTCGTATATATGGTCAATTGTGATTGGAATTATACAAAAAAAAGGTATCATTCAAGTTAAAGCCTCAATTTTTAGTGGATTTTTTATACAACCTGTGTTAGACCTAACCGGGAGCAGTTGTGAAAAATGCAACTACAGGCAAATTTGGCAGGAATCGAATCTGCTGCCCTGCGATTCAGATGCAGCGTTCTAACCAACTGAGCTACAGAGTCCAGTTGACGATCTTTAACCGCAAGTTCATGTGTATATGGTAAACTATTCACATCACTCCCTTTCACGCTCGTTTAAAGAGGGGAAAAATTAGCAACCGCGCTCTGCAGTGCATAGAAACAGTCACGGGTTGGGGGTAGGGTGGAGAGAGAGAAAGAGAAAGGGGTCCAGAGACCGCTAGGCTAGCTCCATGAATGCGAGCCGATTTCATTAATTGTCGGATTCTTATATTCGCTGTGCAAGGGACTGGTGCGAATACTGGTGATGCCAATGTATAAGTTGTATGGGTAAATATTAGGATTTTGGACATCTCACTCGATAAAACTAGTTGTTGAAGGCATTTGTAGATGAACATTAATCGTGTAATTTTTATGCGCGTATTAGACCTAACCATGCAGGAGCAGTTGCGCAAAAGGCATCTGTAAGTCCCAGCTGGTGCTAAAATAGTTTAGTTATAACATGGATTGTAAAATAACTGGATAGGAAACTTCCTGACGTCACAGTCTAAACCTAGTTGCAATCTGTGACGTCACGTGTATTGCCAAAGTTCTCGGCATTTTTGTTGTTTCGCTATATTTTCCGCTTTAAAAGAGTAATATTGAAGCATAAACTGGTCTAATTGTTTTAAAAACATGCCTGAGCCACGTCAAAGTATTCAAGGTAAATGTTTTTCGTCTTTGTTTTGTATTTTTTTTACATTTGTAGCTACGAAATTGGCGTCGCCAATTTTAACGAAATTTGCGATGCATTTTTCACTGTTTAGTGCTTGAAATATTTGCTAAAATTGACCGGGAATACTTAGAGATTTCATCGTAGAATGGCTTAGTTATATTTATTTGCTCTTTGACTAAAATGTTTAGCTGTATTATCGCTAAACATGCCGTTTTGAGAATTTTGTGTGCAACTAGGCTTCAACGCCATTATCCCATTGAAAACATTTAATAGGTCACGTCAGCTAGTTTCCTATCCATGTATTTTATTATCCATGGTTATAATAAGTATAAAAGGGTATTAAGTTTTTGTTCAGCAATAATGATTTCTAAAACATGTACTTGGTATTTTCTTAAGGAAAGTTCAAACTTTGAGTCAAGATCAGTGCGAAATCTTTACAGAACAGTTCTTGACAACGAGGAGAGTCTTGTGCATGATGTTGATGCGTTCTTGGAATATGTTGATATTGCAAATGAGAATAGGAGAGTAGAGTTGTTCAAGAAATGGTCGGAACGAGTTTACACTCCGCTACAGGTAGTCAAACCGAGTCTTCTACAGCTTTTTATTTATTGCTGGTCGATTACACAGGTAGCCTGCGTGCAGTCCCAGACTCCAAAGGAAGTAGGCTCCTACTTCCTACTTCCTTTGGAGTCTGGGACTGCACGCAGGCTATTACGCAGGGTGTGGTTGCCCAATTCAACCGAGCCATAGGCTCATGATGCATATACTGAAGATATAAAGATATGCAGTTTTAAAAACCGGAGGAACCGTAAAAAATCTATTGGAGCACAGGAGAGAAGCAATTCTACGTATATGAGTTTCTATACAATGGTAGCAAAAATATACGCACAGTATACACAGCTAAAAACGATCAGGTTCTTACAATATTGATGAAAACAGGATTGAACAATGTTGTGCGGCCCACATTGTTCACAGTTGCCAACAATGTTGAACTATATTGTTACACCCGATATAGGCTCAACAATATTGTTCAACAATATTGTTCAATATTGTTGACAAGTGTGAACAATGTGGGCCGCACAATCCTGTTAAACTGCAGGCTCATAATTTTTACGTGTGTATACCATTGAACTA